GCGCCGCAGCGTTGCCGTGCACACCGTTATCCATGATATCTTCTCATCCTCGCTATTCGAGTGTTATAAAAGAAAAATAACGAAAGATTACTAAAACAGTATGATAGAGAAATTGATAATGAATTGTACTCGTTTCTAAAAGGGTGAGATACCCTATTAAACTATCGGCCAATAAAAATCTGTTATGTTTCCCTTATACATAAAAATATCCTTTTTTTAATAAAATAAAAAAGTTTTTAAATAATGCTATCCGAAAATCCTCTAAACAGTGGAAAAAACTACTTTAAATCCATATTAGCCTAAATCATCATTTGAAGACGCCAAAGTAATATCTATCTTAACATTCTCCACAAAACTGCTAAACATTTTTATTTTACTTGCAATATTTCGGTTTATAAAAATAGCAGCAATAGTTACAAAGTCATCTTGGCGACGTCCTGCCCGTAGGCCTTGCAGGCTTTGAAGTTGGTCTCCCAGTGGTGCGGCAGGCGCAGCGCGGCGCACAGCGCGGCCAGGTCGGGCGCGCAGCCCAGCGCCAGGCGCCGCGCCCAGCCCGCGCAGCGCGCCCGCAGCGCGCCCAGCGCCGCCTCCAGCTGCGACACCGCCTTGTTGCCCAACCAGCTGTGTCTGGGAAACAAAATCAGCCTCAGCTTCGCCTGGATGGCAAATACATAGAACATTACATAAATGCATATATCTTGTCATCTTCTTAGAATATAAAATCTTCACATGTCAAAATTAAAAATACTACTTATTCCTTTACACACTAGACAAAATGTTTTATTAATAATTTATTGCATTTTGATGTAAAACTTAGTAAATAACTTTTCAAAACAATATTTTAACTTTTAGTCCTAAAGTGGTAATAACTTAAGATAAGTATCATCACCAGCTCTATGTCCTTGCAGATGGGCTCGGATTCTACCCTAGGTTAGCAGTGACTAGGCCATAGTCAACCACACTAAGATGAACATGTTATCAAAAAAAAAATAAGATACAAAAGTGTTTTTGTTTATATCATTGTGTTCAATCGAATCGGTTAGTCTTTTTTACTTACTTGTCAACGATAGAAGCAAATATGGTTTGTTTAGTATCGAGTGCGGTGCTGAGTCCGACAAAGTTGTTGGGCAGGGAGACGAGGCGGCGCAGCTGGTGGTAGTGCTGCACGCGCAGCTCCTCCAGCCCCGGCTGCGACACCACCATGCGACCACTGCAACAAATATATACCTCACTAAGACAAGTTTTTGCATAAAACAGAAGCAGCGTGTATGTTTATGTGTATATGTACTACTACCTGTTCCCGTGCGGTTTCATCCGCATGACATTATAAAAACTGTATTTCATTGTTTACATTTCGTAAAACTTTCAATTGCAAATGTCAAAATTTAAATGCACAAATGAAAACACGGGCTGTCGACATAGGCTAACAGTTACCATGGTAGTCTTGCTTCGTTTATTAACATTTTACTAAAAAAAATATTCTGTGATTGCTGACATCCCACTTAACATAGTGTGTGTTTACGCTTTATTATATTAGTAAAGATATAGATACATCAACATACCGTAAGACGAGATCGACCCTGACTTGTGGGAAGTGCGTGTGCAGCGACAGCAGGGTGTTGATGTACTGGCACTCCAGCGCCTTGCACAGCTGCCAGTCCCAGTGCGCCCGCCACTGCTCGCTGTTCTTGTAGCCCTCACTCTCCACCTGCAACGTTACACACTTAAATTTAAAAAACGCCTGCGTAAAATTAATAGCAAATATACTCTACCAATATTTTGATCACAATTATATACATTTTAATGATATCGCATACCTTTTCAATGATATCTCTGATAAGTTTGATGCTCTTCTTCCAGTCAGCTTGCTTGACAAGCAGCTCGGTGTCAAACAGCTTCTCCACAATGTTCCTGATCGCTATGTGCTGACTCGTCAAGTATGAGTTCTGAAACAATTTACTGGCTTACAAATAAAGAATTTCGATACTTCGCGAAATACAAAAGCTACAACATACTAATCTATATCTATACTAATATTATTAAGAGGAAAGAATATAATTTATTGTTGAGTAACCTAGGCTATATATTTTTTAATTTCACGTGCATGAAGTCGTGAGCAAAGGTTAGTATTTGCTACTTTTGTAGCATTTTACCTGCGTCTCCAGTTTGAGAACCATGTTTTTCAGTTTGTCTGTATAGTCGGCGAGTTGGTCCGTGTCCTGCCAGTAGACGGGCCGGTGGTCCTGCACCAGCGCGGCCAGCTCCAGCGCCGCCTGCAGCATCATCGGCCGCGTCGACGGGATCATGCGCTCGCCCAACGTGTTGTGGAATGATGCCACCTACAATTGTCACATACTTAGCATACATTCATTACCTCTTAGTATTTTTATTCGAGGATATTCTAATTAGTATTTATAAAACTGATAATATTCAAGTTAGAAAACAAAATTAGGAAGGACAATATGTAAAAATATCGTTTCCATTTTCTTTACTATTTCTCCCTATTAGTAAACATAGTAAAGGTTACACTTAAACATTTTTTTTTATTTTAATTAAAAAAATCTGATTTTTAAGGAACGAGTTTTGTATCTTCAACGTTTTTGTCGTGCAAACAAAACAAAACAACTTCTATACTATATAGAAGTTAACTGTGTTTGTTTGATTGTA